AGAAGAAGGGTCTAGACCCGAAATGTCAGCTTTCCTGCTCCTCTGATGCTGCTTGGCCTGCTGTGTTCATCCAGCTCTACACCTTGTTATCTCTTTTTTTTTTAGCTGTTGTTTGGCCAACCAGTCAGTTAGACACTCCTCTCCAGAGTCCCTCCTATACACTCAAATTCTGACAATGTTTTAGCATATTTGAGATGTTGGATAGTATCTCTGCTGCAGTTTCAAAGGTCATGCCACTTTGATACCTGAAATTGTGATTTTTCTAACAATTTTAATTTTTTTTTTAGAAAAAGCATTCGGAGCTACAATTGCTCAACTCAACTTCCAATTCACAATAGCAAATGAAGAAAGCAGCTGTTCTGGTTACTTCATGTACAAGAACAGTGAGGCACTTCTGAAACAAACTGAAGCAAATAATGTAGCCATCTTCTGTCACTACAGGGTGCTTACATAAATCATCTCATCTGCAAATTCCTTGTCACTTTTTTCACAGTCCTGCCCTCCTTCTGTGCAATCTTGCACAATATTCTGTTGCTGGTAATCTCTGCAGTTCACAAAGGGTAACAGATTACCGTTTGGGCTACCCTTAGCTTTGCCATTGAGCAAGTTGCCTGCTGCATTTTCCATCTCCTCGATTGTCATATCGCAAGCATCTGCAATTTCATGGGCTGTTGCAGCAACAAATTTTGGGTCTTGTGCGTATCGACCAAGCCCTTCTGAGATCAGGACCTATTTAAGCAAAAAGAAAAATAGACATTACCACAAAAGGCTAATACATTGACCATAATATGTTTAAATAATATTGTATGATACTTTGAACGTTGTGATCTATTGCATCTTGAAGAGATATGCATGCACTACACAGTCCAACAAGGTGCTACACAAAAAATGATTTAATGGCCTTCCTTCACTATTTACTGTGTAATATTTTCTTGAACTGCTGGAGATAAGAAATTGAAACAATGTACACTTTTGCATATCTCCAGAGCACCATTCAGAAAAAAATCTGAGTAATGTCTGTACCTAATGGGTTAAATTTAAGTGCCAATGGTGAAAGCCAGTTTGAATGTTCCAGCAAATTCTGGAAACCCTGAAGCAATTCAATGACTATAATTAATTAATTAATATAATTACAGTAGCCTGGCATTGGGGCTTCCTTCCCTGTAAGGGTGAAGATTCCACCTCCTGGATCATCTAGGAGGTCAGCAACACACCTCAATCTGAACGGTGTCTCCAGGTACGGTGACCACTGATGTTTAGCTATCTTGAACCAACAGCCATACAGGAGGCCCCAGAGGATTCACCAGGGCTGGTCAGGCAGTTCCTGATAGTCTGAGGTGGGATGCATAAGGGTGGAGCGGGAAGGAATTGGTAGGTGGTGATTGTGAAGATGAGGATTTTGCGGTGGTCGATGTCACTGTGTACCCAATCAGGAAGGCCATGCACATAAACCTTCAGGAAGGCTGTCAACATTTATTGGGTAGCCTCCCCTGTGGTAAAGTGCCCCTGCATTGCTGAAAGAATAGTGTGATGAGGCCTTAAGTGGCCATTAATTAACAGCTTAAGGGTCTCAATTGACCTCCAAATGTGAAAGGATGTCATTGATCTTCCTTTGCCCTGATGTAATGTGAGTGGACACTCTTCCTTCACCTTTCCTCTTGATTCTCTGCCCACATACCCCAATGTCTCCTATCCTTTTTCAGTTGGTTGGATTCAATTCCACTCACTGTCTGAGAATAATATCTACAACTTGTTTTTAATCTGCTGAAGAACAAGTTTAGCTCAGTGATTTTGTTAATTTGACAAATTATCTGAAATGTAAAAACCATTCAAGTAATGCTTGATAAAGACAATTCTGATGATGGGACTGGCTGGCCTAAAGGAATTGTACAGGTAAATGGAAGCCTAAATTATGTGATGAACAAATTGCTCCCTGATCTGTTTAACTATTTGATGTTGGACAGCAGCTGCACCTCCAGTGTGGGGTGGATTGGCCAATTCCTGCTTGGAATCTCTTGACCATAAGGTTAAAGAGTATGAAAGCTCCACCTTCTTTATGTTTAAGGTGGCAATGTAATCAAAATATAATATTATTCTTATAAGAAGCACTTGGATTCTAAAGTGAAGGAATGAAGTATAGCTCTAAGTTTGGAAAACAAAAAATGCTGGAAATCACCGTGGGTCAAACAGCATCACGGAGAGGGAACAAGCTAACATTTTGTATCTAGCTGACTGAGCTCTGATGAAGAGTCATCTAGACCTGAAACGTTAGCTTGCTGTCTCTCCATGGATGCTGCCTGACCTCTTTATGATTTCCAATTTTTTTTTATTTACAGTACAGATTCCAGCATCTGCAGTCATTTGCTCCTACATAGATCTAAGTTTGATTTGTATTTCGATATTTGGTGTGTTGAGTAGGGAAGGCCTTTTTGTTGTTTCATTATAGATTTGTTCTGTTAACAGTTAAGCACGTCTGGAGATTTGTTTTGTTTACGGGCATTTAAATTGTGGCTTTCAGCTCTTGAGGAGAAGAACTCTGGATTAGAGAGAAAAAAAATGTCTCCTGTCACCAGGCAACAATGTAAAAGAAGTCAGGTTGTTTGGAGATTGAAGAAGAGGTCCCTAACTGCAGAGGTGCAGTCTTTAAAACCAAGACAGAATGAGGAGGATGTCCTGATTGCTTCCCAGAAAACTCCAGAAACAGAAAGCTATTCAACCATTATAGATAAGATCATAGAAAATACATTCGTCTGGTTCTTGGGATGCTAACAAACATTTTGACTGATGGAGGAGAATTTACAAATGATGAACTTTGGGCATATGTGTGAATTTGAATATTATTGTCATGAATACCATAGCAGTAAGCCACTTCAACAAAGCTTTCTGTGAGACGAATCATGCAGTAATTGACAAGGTAAGATACTGGCTAATCAACCGAATTGCAAGTTGCCAATATCTGTGGCATGGTTGGTGCATCATAAAAATTAATTGTAAATGGTTCAGCGTTAGCCTGTACCAATTGTATATGGAAGGAAACTGAAGTTCGTTTCTGTACACTCTACAACGGTTCTCCTAACATAGAAAGAACAGTCATTAGTTCCATTTTCTTTTCTCCCCACTTCAGTGCATTACATGCTAATAGGAAAACTTTTTAAAAAGGCTAACATTTCAGAAAAAAGTCAAAGGGCTGTAAAATCACATTCAATATTCTGAGACTTTATTTCAGGTGATCTGGTTTATTTTCGAGAGAGGGACATAGGCAGGAGAAAGGTCTAGGAAAATCTTTTTTGTAAGATGCAATGGGAATCAAATAATGAAAGCTCATTTCTCACAGGTGATGGTGATGAATAACACTATCTGATATTGAAAACATGATAGATAATGAAGAGGCACCTTATGCATTGTACACATGCATTTTCTGAGGTAGAGATAGAAGAATGCTAGATGATAGATCCGTGATTAAATGCTGGTAGGGATACTAAAGGATTAGTTTATTTAAAGGCAAATACCCAAAGTAGGTTCCTAAGTGATGTACTGTCAAGTGTCAAATTACAGGAGGGATGCCACAACAGTGAGATGGGAAGGAAAATCTATTGGAAAATATAAAATTCGGTTGAATGTCAAGGATGATGTACAAGGATTGAGGGTCATGGACTGGAAGAATGGGGTATGAAAACAGAAAATAAGGAAGTGTTGCTTCATTTCCAATAATTGTTCATGTTTGAGGAAATGTTTAGGGTATGGTCGAGAAGACCTCAAATCTGGTAGACAGGGAATCTGAAGTTGTAACCCAAGTGAGTAGACATCGCAGTCTGACTAGACAGCACAATAAAATGCTTTTCAGGTCAGTGGGATTGAATACAGCTAAGAAGATAAAGGTTAGAGTGCATTCCCAAATACGCAGGTCCTTTTTGAATTTTCCTTTGGCCCTTTTAGCTCCATTTTCTTGATATATGTTGATATGTGTAGATGATGCAATTCTGAAGTGGCAAAAACAGAAGTTGCTGGAAAAGCTCAGCAAGTCTGGTAGCATCTGTGAAGAAAGAATCAGAGCTAACTTTTTGTGTCTGGCGACCCTTCCTCAGAACTCTGTTCCCCAATTCTGAGGAAGGGTCACCAAACCAAAAACGGTAACTCCTGATTTTTTTTCTCCACAGATGCTGTCCGACCTGCTGAGCTTTTTCAGCAACTTCTGTTTTTGTTCTAGAATTGAAACTGTGTGAGTTCAGCAAACCATTCGGTCTTTATTGCCAGTAAACACTCGAAACTCTGCACTAATCAGAATGTCTCTGAACTTCTGGGAAACAGCCCACATCAAAGCCAGCATTTTGAGTTTCAAACAAGAATGATTCTCCATTTTCCTCTCATTTGGCTTAAGACTGTAACCATTCTTTTCTGTTTTTGAACGGTACCATGCCTAGGGCAAGGAAATTAACATCAGTTCTAGTATTGTGTGTGTTGGAAATCTGCGTAGCTAAGGCAGGTGATGAGACACACTTTGCTTCAGGATGCAAAAGGAGTCTTCACATGCTCAGGTCCAACTTCCTGTGATGCTCTGTGGAATATCATACCTTCTACATCCTTTCTCAACGACTCCTGCAGCATTCTCTGATTTTTGTTAGTAAATCATGGAGTGGGGCAGCTAACTGTACACAGCTGTGCAGGTAGTAAGCCTCCTAGACCAAGGAAATCATGCTGCTCCATCCCTATCTGAGGCCAGGGCCGCCTCTACGCCTCTACCACTCATTGTCAAGAGAATTGCCTTCCTTGGTAAACAATTGCTCAGGTATTGTACTTTTGTCTGGAAAAGTTGACACTTCCAGGTTGACAATCAAGATAAACTCCAACAAGTAGGATGAGACAGCATCTAGTCTTGCAAGTGCCTCCTTGAATGTTGAGCTGAAGATGATCATGTTGTACAGAGGTACAAGGAGACATTGGAAATTAAGGTAACCAAAAGATGTATCCGTCACGTGCATGAAGACGGCAAGGACATTACAGAGCCCAAACAACATTCTTGTGTATTTATAACATCCCCTGGGGTCTATTTGGAATGCTGTTTTTTCACTAAATAAAAACCAAAAGAACTGCAGATGCTGCAAATCAGGAACAAAAACAAAGTTGCTGGAAAAGCTCAGCAGGTCTGGCAGCATCTGTGAAGGAGAAAACAGAGTTAACATTTTGGGTCCAGTGACCCTTCCTCAGAACTGATGGTGGCTGGGAAAGTGTCAGTTTATATGCAGAAAATAGGGAGGTGGGTGGGTTAGGGAGGAAACGATAGGATAGAGCCCAAAGAGAGACAAAGACAGTTGGACAGGCAAAGAAGTTGCTAACGATCAGTCTGGGAGGGTGAGAAGTTGTTAATGGGGTCTGTTAGTGACTAACAACAGTGGGTGTGTAATGGCAGGCTATTTGGAAACAAGGCCTGGTGTGTTGGGTGGGGGACTGGGACATGGTAGAATTTAGGCCCTAAAATTATTGAACTTAATATTGAGTCCGGAGGACTGTAGGGTCCCCAAGTGGAAAATGAGGTGTTGTTCCTCCAGCTTGCATTGGGCTTCACTGGAACACTGTAGCAAGCCAGAGACAGAGATTTTGGCCAGGGAGCAGGGTGGTGCATTGAAGTGGCAGGCAACAGGTAGTTCAGGGTCTTTTTTTGCGAGCAGAATGTAGGTGTTCTGCGAAGGGGTCACCAAGTCTATGGTTCGTTTCCCCAATGTAGAGGAGAC